TCAGTTCCTGCTAAATTATCTTGATTAGAATCAATTATATTATTACTGGTATTAGTGTCTTGTTGTTCATCAGTTCCTGCTAAATTATCTTGATTAGAATCAATTATATTATTACTGGTATTAGTGTCTTGTTGTTCATCAGTTCCCGCCAAATTATCTTGATTAGAATCAATTATAGCATGACCTGTATTAATGTCTTTGTATTCCTCAGTTCCTGACCGTGAATTGAAACTATTTATTTCATGAATATTTGAGCCACAAAATGAATTACCTGTATATATGCTGTCATGTTTTAGATTATTATTATTTAATAGTAACACAGTGTTTTCGTTTCCACTTTGAAGGCTTTGAATCCATGTGTCAAGTTGTTCGTCGCAGTCCGTGCTAGCTAATAAATCAAATCAATAATTACTGTAAGTAATTAATTTATAAAGTCTATGAATCCATTGTTAATGATTTACATACTTGGATCGTCTATTGCATTTTCTCTACGATTTTAAGGAAAGAATAAATTTAATGTTATTATTTTTATGGTGAATATTATATAATTGTAATAAATGAGTGTTGCCAAATTAAACCTGTAGATACAAATTTAACATTTATACTACTGAACTTACTTCTGAAATTTGATAATTGAGTATGTATATATCGATACGATCGAGTAATATAGTAAAGTAGTAAGCGTACGGTGTGGAAATTATGATAATTATGATAGAATATACGGTTTGTAATAAAAATCCTCCAAATTAATGTTATTTTCTCGATAAATTAGCTTTACCCCAACACGAACAACACGACAATTCTAACCTGTCCATTGAAAAGGGTTGTTTATAAAAATTAAATTTTATGTTATTCATGCATACGTACTTAAATTGTCAGAGTCTGTATAGTGCTACTTTTTTACTGAATGTCTCATACGATCGGTATACTAATCATAAAATATTACAAATACTATAAATACTATAAATACTATCAAAACGATTAGAACACTAATCGTAACGTGCTTCAATTAGTTAAAGTGAAAGCTAAGCTCCTCTCAGGTTTTGACTTGGTAACACTCATTTGCGTTAAAAAAGATGGTATATACTATATCAGATACATACTTAATAATTGTGTATATCAAAAATCCAAAAAGAATGGGTGTTGCATCAGTGGAAAAGAAAGAGTAAATCTTTGCGACAATATCTTGCTTCATTAATTCGTAATTTATCATTGGAGGAATAAGTACAATCGACCAGAACAAAAAAACAATTCCACACACCCAATTGTAAGCTTCCATCTAAAATTTCAAAATTTTGAAATGAAATTGTGAAAAAATCCAAACAAATGAATGTAACTATAAAAAACAAACCTTCTTGATATTTGCTTTTAACCTTTTTTTGTTACGTAATTTTTCTTTTACTTTTTTTATCCATTGATCATCCTCAACAACTGTTAATCTTAGACTCTCTTTCGTTAAAGTTACTACGGCTCTACCATAATACATAATTAAAATCCAAATAAACGAACAAGATAACCAAAAAAATATTATTTGCGTTCTTCTGGCTTCTTGGAGTTCACTAAATGACTTATAATCGGCATGGTAATGAGCTGCAAATGCCGACGGAATTGTTAGACATAATGTAGTGAGAATTATAAACATCCATGTTAAGATTTGAACTTGATCTTCTTGCGGAATCCACATTTTTCCAGAGTTTGCAGAATGACAATCAAAACATATCTTTGGAATCACGCTAATGATACCATGCAGATACCAATATAAAGAGGCGAATCCAGGTGTCCACGAAATTCCATATATTAACTCTCGAAAAAAAGTATGACTGGAAAACATGTCAAATATCAACACTAAACAACTAAAAGCTCGCACTAAAACGTGAAATGAATTCGATATTATTGAGAATGATAATAATTTATATAAAATTTATTCCTTTACTTTTTTTTTTTTTACTTACTTATAAAACATAATACCGCCCAAGTCATCATTTTATATTTCGGTGTAAAGAAACTTTTATCCCAGTTTTTTGATTTTAACTTAATTATAAACCTCCAACATAATAATGAAAATAAAATCAAGCCTAAAATTCCGTTTATGACTGTCCCGCAGATCATTATACCTAGAAAAGTTGCTCTCTCGCAGTTATTAATTGAATACGTCCATCTATAAAATGAAATTTCGTGTTAATTCTTTTAAGTTATTGATAAATTCGAATACTCGAGTAAAAAAAAAAGTTTACGCAACTCGCATATATCACTTATACTAATATTTGAAATCGAATCCATATTGAAACCATAAATTTATTTACATTTGTCGAGAGAGTAAAAAAAAAAAAAAACCAAAAAAAAAATTATTGCTGCATTTTATTAAATATGATTTTTTTTCTTATTAACTAAATTCGGGCAGCCTTTTGAAGGACATATGACTGAACTAGAACTCATTATATACGTAGGATTATTAACGTTAAGTTTAATGATAATCCTAATTAACAAACGTAAATCTAAAGATTTTCAACTCTAACGCTAAGACTAAATTCCAAAAAAAAAAACCAATGAAATATGAATTCCTTAAAAAATTAAATGAAAAGGTCAATCAAAAAAAATATACATAAAAGAAAAAAAAACCCTTTGTATTAAAATTTGTTTCCTCGGCAATAGAATTTAACAATTTTAACATGACGAAATGAAAAAAAAATAATATGACTTTAATTTGGTAAGATCGCTCATATTTATGATTCAGGTTTTACATTATGAAAACGATATCACTGATCTTTTACATTATTGAATTGCAATAATTTAAAACTGGAGTAACTAAGGACTATATATAATTATCAGTCCCGAATTGAGATCATCAATGGCCAACGATTATAGCAAAAATAATTAGAATAGATAATGAAACTAGCTAATTGTTTATAATTCAATAATTGTAACAATTGTTCAAAACCATGACTATTTGAACATCTTTGAACTTCAACGGCCCGAGCATAAAAAAAAATGCCGCTGACGTCACATTTTATATAGTACTTATATGTCTTAATGGACAAATCACAATTAAAAACTAGATTTAACATTATATATATTTATAAGAGACGTTAGCGATGTTTTTTTTATGGGTTATGCTAGGTTTGCTTGAACTTCAAGGAATCGTTAGTCGATTAATCATTAACTAATCAACTGATTTTTTGAATCGTTAGTTGACTAATCATTATCTAATCAACTGATTTTTTGAATCGTTGGTTGATTAATTATCGTTATCTAATCAACTGATTTTATTAACCAATTTGTTGACCAATGATTAGTCAAATACATTATATATATCAATATTAAAAAGATATTAATCGACTAGTGCTCGCACTATGTGTTCCCAAATTATAACAATTCTGCTAAGGCAAGATCCCTATTGCATTAGTCCCTGTAATTTTGATACGTACAATGGTTGAATAAAAAAAAGAGAACTGATTTTTTTTTGTTTTCTTTTTTTTAATATTATAATTTTTAAGTCACAGAATGCCTTTATTTTTGCGTTTAACATGAAAAATAATGTGGTATGCGTAGTTAAAAAAAAGTCAACCTTAAATATATAATAATACTTACGTTTAAAAATAACATAGTCTAGTCATTTAAAAACTAAAGATTTATTTTTGTTGTGTTTATTACTATATTAAAAAATAATTTTTTTTGCCTTTATCGGTTTCTATTTTTATTTTAGAGTGGTTGGAAATCTTATCTGTATCATAAATTATATCGGTATTCATGGTACTTTACTGAAACTTTCAAATTTGCAATTTTAATATTACTTGTAATTAGCTATAAAGTAACTAAAAAATAACCATATAGTTACTTTATAGTAATTATATTTACTGTATGTTAGCAATACGCCTACTACTATTTTACTATGCGGAAATCTTACATTTTTGCGATAGCGTCAAAATATTTTAGATTAGTATAAATTATTAATAATATAGGTCGTTCTAGATCTAGTATAAATTATTATTAATATAGGTCGTTAAGATGAGATTTTCATAGTAAATTGCAAATTTAGTTTCTTACTAGCATTATTGACGAGGTATTAACGAGGTTTTTTGACGGAGTATGAAAAATTAGCAATTTTCGTACTCCGTCAAAAAACCTCGTTAATATCTCGTTAATACGTAGTGCTAGTAAGAAACTAAATTTACGATTTATTATCGTTATGAAAATCTCCTCTTAATGACCTATATTATTAATAATTTATACTAGATCTAGAGTATTTTGACACTATCGCAAAAATGTAAGATTTCCGCAAAGTATACTTTTACTACTTTTACAAAAACGTTTTTAATAAAATTGTACTAAAACTATAGTAAAATAATAACGCAGTAGTAAGTAGTAGTAGACGTATTGCTAACGTATAGTAGATGTAAAACTATAGTAACTATATAGTTACTTTATAGTTATTTTATTGCTAATTACTAGTAGCATTAAAGTTGCAAATTTGCAAGTTTTAGTAAAGGAAAAACTAGTCCGAAACACTAATATCTGTTTAAGATGATCAAATACCTTAAAGCGTAATTTCCTCCCGATACATAAACTGATTGGGTAATTATTTTTGAACCCGGTTCAATTTTAGATCAGATATGTATGACTAGGTGTCTCATTGGGGTGTCACATCGACTATTTAATCAAAACTATATCAGTTAACTATGTAAGTTATCATATTGCAGATTTTTGCGTT